AGATAATTTTCAGATTAAATAATAATTCTGAATTTAATATAAAACTTTAGTAAAAAGTTAATATTGTTTAAACATTTTTTTAAAAATATTCTTAATGAGATAAAATTAAAATTGAATATTTATTATATTTACAGTTTTCTTAACTAATTAGCTGTAACTATTATTTTATATGAAGAAAAGTTCAATTCATTTTTAGTTTATTCGATATATTTATATTATTTCAGGGAAATGTTTAAAAATAAAAATTAAAGTTTTAAAAAATAAAATAAGAATATTCCTTTTTTGATTAGGTACACCCTATATATATTTGTAATTTTCCATAAAGTATGACGTCAGAACAAAAGATAAAGAAATACTTTAAGTAATATTGTTATATGTACCTATAATTCCAATATGCAGGTATAAAAGGACAACTAATACAATAGAGTATCATAAATGGTTTATTATGACTAGATTTCTAGTCAATTTTATTGTTGTTATGTACCCTTCCCTTTTTATTTTTGCTTTTAAATGTTTAATATTTTAATTTAATTTAATATTTTAAAACAAATTAACTTTTAGACTACAATAAAATTATGAACCTTTAAAAATTCTTGTTTCCTCTAATTCAAAACTTAATTCTGAACAGATTAAAAATATAATTCATTTCTGACCAAAAATTTATAAAATTTGTTTATATAAATGATAAAACAAATTAACATTAATCGTATAAACCAGATTAAACAAAAAGTCAATTTTTCATTTAAATTTGAATTTTTCTATGAAAAAGTTATTGTTTTTATTAATAATTTATAAATAATTTCTTTTTGATTTCCTTGAAAAATATTGTTTCCAATGTCGATAAATTTAACAATTTATATAAAATTGTTATTTTCGACTTCAATATTTATTATTAACAAAAAAAATAAATAATAATTATCAATTTTCTTTATATGTTTATAATAATTTATCGGAGATAATTTTCAGATTAAATAATAATTCTGAATTTAATATAAAACTTTAGTAAAAAGTTAATATTGTTTAAACATTTTTTTTAAAATATTCTTAATGAGATAAAATTAAAATTGAATATTTATTATATTTACAGTTTTCTTAACTAATTAGCTGTAACTATTATTTTATATGAAGAAAAGTTTAATTTATTTTTAGTTTATTCGATGTATTTTTATTATTTCAGTTAATATAGGAAATGTTTAAAAATTAAAATTAAAGTTTTAAAAAATAAAATAAGAATATTCTATAGGTACACCCTATATATTTGTAATTTTCCATAAAGTATGACGTCAGAACAAAAGATAAAGAAATACTTTAAGTAATATTGTTATATGTACCTATAATTCCAATATTCAGGTATAAAAGGACAACTAATACAATAGATGGTTTATTATGACTAGATTTCTAGTCAATTTTATTGTTGTTATGTCCCCTTTCCTGTTTATTTTTGCTTTTACATGTTTAATATTTTAATTTAATTTAATATTTTAAAACAAATTAACTTTTAGACTACAATAAAATTATGAACTAAATTTGAAAAATTCTTGTTTCCTCTAATTCAAAAACTTAATTCTGAACAGATTAATAAAAATATAATTCATTTCTGACCAAAAATTATAAAATTTATAAAATTTTTTTATTATAAATAATAAAGTTAATTGCAAACAAATTAAGATTAATCGTATAAACCAGATTAAACAAAAAGTCAATTTTCCCAACTAATTTCCTCTAAAAAAAAATTTTCGTCTTAGATTAAGATACCTTAAAAAATAATAAATTAATACTTACTTATTAATATAATTAGTAATAAATAATTAATAACTAATGATTACTAATTAATAATTAGTAATTATTATAATAATAATTTAATACCTCATCTATAAATGAGAAACAAGTTGCATTTCAAGAGGATACATTTCTTATAATAGAAAGAGGAAAAAAAAGAAAATTAAGTGGTAAAAAAAGGTAACATTGAAAATACGCGTAAAAAAAATGAAATGAATGGACTCGTAGAACCGAGAGAAATTATCTCGTTCGCGCCATGCTCATCCGTAATCGCATGGGAGATATAGCAAGGGACGATGCTCTCGGGCTATCAGGTCGTCAATTGTCCGAATTGCTTTCGAGCGATTTGCGGTTAGAAATTCGCGGAGGCGCGATTCAAAGTGGAATGGGCATTTTAATTAACGCACCAGTTTCTAGTCCAAAGTGAAAATTACATCGACGAGATGAACAGCATTTGATAAAGGAGAATATATATGTATATATATATTAAAGAAAATTCAACAAGAAAAAAAAAGAAGAAACCAAATTTATTCCAATTTATTCTCATTTCAGGGCGTGCAAAAAACCTCGGAACATCATGAAACTGATATTTTACTTCGATATAAAATCGACGAAAAGAGGGAAAGAGAGAAAGCGAGAGAGAAAGAGAGAGAGAGAGAGAGACTAAAATGAAATTGTATCCGGTGTATAATATTTCATGTTATTGTACTTTTAAATATTTTTATTTGAACTTTTTCTTTTTTTGTTTAGAAAAAAATACTAAAAATTTTATGAATTGTTTTTATTTTCGTATTTAAGTAGTCAAAGTCAGTCATAGTCATACAAACCTAATTCGTGGAATTAGTAAAAGTCAGTAATAAATTAGTCAGTAGCAAAAGTCAGTTTCGGTCAGACGCAACGTTTTTAATTCCTTGTAATTTTAATATCAGTAGTAAAAGGCAGATTAAGTCAGCCAGAATATTTTTAATTAGTGTAAGTTTAATATCAGTAGTAAAGGTCAGTCATAGTCAGACGGAATAATTTGAACTGTAGTAAAAGTAGTAAAAATTATGCTCAGTCAGACAAAATTCTTTAAATTTACCTAATTTTAGTATTAGTAGTACAAGTAAATCATAGTCAGACGCAAACGTTTTTATTTATTATATTTTTTGTTAGTAGTAACATTAACTTCTAGTCAGACAGTCCTAGAAATATCAGTAGTGAAGCTCATTTTCAGTCAGGCAGAAGGGTTTTAATTCACGGAATTTCATTAGTAGTAAAAGTCTGTTTCAGTCAGACATTCATAATTAGTAGAATTTTTAATCAGTAGCAAAAGTCAGTTTCAGTCAGACATTCCCAAATAGTGGAATTTTTTTATCAGTATCAAATGTCAGTTTTAGTCAGACATTTCCAATTAGTGGAATATTGTGATCAGTAGTAAAAGTCAGTTTCGGTCAGACGCAACGTTTTTAATTCCTCGTAATTTTAATATCAGTAGTAAAAGGCAGATTAAGTCAGACAGAATATTTTTAATTAGTGTAAGTTTAATATCAGTAGTAAATGTCAGTCATAGTCAGACCGAATAATTTGAACTATAGTAAAAGTAGTAAAAATTATGCTCAGTCAAACAAAATTCTTTAAATTTACCTAATTTTAGTATTAGTAGTACAAGTAAATCATAGTTAGACGCAACGTTTTTATTTAGTATAATTTTTGTCAGTAGTAACATTCACTTCTAGTCAGACATTCCTAGAAATATCAGTAGTAAAGCTCTTATTCAGTCAGACAGACAGTTTTTAATTCACGAAATTTCATTAGTAGCAAAAGTCACTTTCAGTCAGACATTCCTCATTAGTAGAATTTTTAATCAGTAGTAAAAGTCAGTTTTAGTAAGACATTTCTAATCAGTGGAATATTTTTATCAGTAGTAAAAGTCAGTTTCGGTCAGACGCAACGTTTTTAATTCCTTGTAATTTTAATATCAGTAGTAAAAGGCAGATTAAGTCAGACAGAATATTTTTAATTAGTGTAAGTTTAATATCAGTAGTAAAGGTCAGTCATAGTCAGACGGAATAATTTGAACTATAGTAAAAGTAGTAAAAATTATGCTCAGTCAGACAAAATTCTTTAAATTTACCTAATTTTAGTATTAGTAGTACAAGTAAATCATAGTCAGACGCAACGTTTTTATTAAGTATAATTTTTGTCAGTAGTAACATTCACTTCTAGTCAGACATTCCTAGAAATATCAGTAGTAAAGCCCATTTTTAGTCAGACAGAAAGTTTTTAATTCACGGAATTTCATTAGTAGTAAAAGTCAGTTTTAGTCAGACATTCCTCATTAGTAGAATTTTTAATCAGTAGTAAAAGTCAGTTTCGGTCAGACATTTCTAATCAGTGGAATATTTTTATCAGTAGTAAAAGTCAGTTTAGTCAGACAAATTTTCAATTTCCTTGTATTTTTTTTTTACAAATAATTTCTCTTAAAAGAATAAAATTATGTTTCATTGTTGTCTTTCAACTCTAAAACAGTATCGTTGGCAGTGAAATGACAAATTTCCAAAATTATATTTGCCTTCTGGCTTAGTGAAATATGAATCTCTTGTTGACATAAATTACGAAATGTTTGTTGACATATTTTACTACGTTTGCACTGGATTCAAACGCAACTTCTCGAGCACCTGGGGCTTGAATATAAGCTTGATGGAATTAGATAATGATATTATCCTTCCAATCCATTGAATCATCTCTATTACAATTTCAAATGACAAATTCACAAAATCATCCACGATTCGACAATAATAATAAAATTTTCAATATTTTTAGAAAAATTTCATTTTTTACTTCAAATTTTGTCTTTGAAAAAAGATTAATAAAAGAGGAAAACGCAGCATTAAGAAAATGGAAAAAAATAAAATATCAAGAGACCAAATGCTCTTTGTATCGAATTATTATGGATGGTTCATCAAACTTTTGAAGGAATTTTACTCTTGAAAGTTTTCACTTCAAAGTGTGTGTATATATAGTATATGAAGAGAAAGAGAGACAGAGTGGATGGGGTTTAATTTAATTTCAAATGTTTCCGCTTCCCATCAATTCACTTTAAAATATAGTCTTTGTATGCTTATTTTATGAAAGTTCTCATTACAGCTTCTATATTGAGAAGCAAAATAGAAATGAGGCGTGGAAAATGATTCGAGAGAGAGAGAGAGAGAGAGAGAGAGAGAGAGAGAGAGACTCACCTCTGGCAGTTTACTGATGAAATCGTGAGCGTTTGCTTCCTTGGCAGCTTTAATCATTTGCTCTTCGGTAACGCTGTCATTTCCGTAACGGATATTCTCGCGTATTGTCGTGTCAAAAAGAACTGGTTCCTGACCAACAACACCGATATGCGAACGAAGCCATTGTACATTCAATTTTCCAATATCAACACCGTCAATGAATACCTGAAAACAGAGAGGAAAAACGGTTGTCATTTTTTTTTTTTTTTTTGAAATAACAAAATATATGATGAAATAGAAAAATATTGAAAATTACAAGTAGTAAAAGTCAGTTTCAGTCAAACGTAATGATGAAAATAATAAAGAATATAATTATTAAGATAAAAAAATTAGAAGTAGTAAAAGACATTTTTAGTCAGACGTAATATTCACAATAAAAAGAAGGAGAAATAGTAAAATTGAATTAAAAATTACAAGTAGTAAAATTCAGTTTCAATCAGACGTAAACAATTTTTGAACCAGTAATACAAGTAACACAGAAAATTATAAGGTATTAAAATAAGCGTTCCCTCATAACAAAAGGATATCCCTAGGATATCCATATCAATGGTCGATATCCTAGAATGGTCCCCAGGATATCTTGGGATATCCATATGATATCCCTAGGATATCCAAACCGCCGGTCTGTGGGACATCAATAGGACATTCATAGGATATCCCTAAGACATCCACAAAATATCTATTGGATATTATATCGCAGGATATCCATGGGATATCCTCAAGATGTCCGTGGGATATTCTTAGGATATTCACGGGATATTTAATATCTCAACATATATTTTTAAAGGTTGAAATTGTTAAGCTAATATAATGAATAATAATTATAATAAAAACAAAAATCTTATGAGCTTCTAATTTAATTTAAATGAAGATTTGAAACGCATTTTTCAAAGTTTTTAAATAAACTCATGCACTTAATGTATAATTAATATTAATAGTTATTCGTTATTTGCGGGGAAAAAAAATTAGTTAATAATTTTTCAAATTAAACAACTTTCTCGAAAAACAAGTTGCATTTTATTTTATTTATATAAAATTTAATTCACAAAATATTCTCACTCGTAGTCTCATAATGATTTTAAAAACAATATCCTGAGAATATCTTCTTGACATCCAGAAGATATACTGAGAATATCCTGACGATATCTATGGGATATCTGGAGGACATTTATGAAAGTCTATAGAGATATCCAGAATATATCCTGTGGATATCCTCAGATATCCATGGAATATCCAAAGGATATCCAAACCGCCGATTTTTTGGATATCCTTAAGAGATCCTTTTGATATCCATAGGACATCCCTAGGATATCTGCGGGATATTATCAATATATCCCAAGATATCTTGTGTTATTAGGATTGCAGCTTATTTTAATGCCTCTTAATTTTCTGTGAATGTTTAGTCAGATAGAATCTTTGATTTTTTGAATCAGTAGTAACAGCCAGTTACAGTCAGACAAAACGTCTGTAATTTTTTTTTTACAAAAATAGTAAAAAAATTTAAAAGTAAAAATTAATTTAATCAAATTCTTATAAGTGCTGATAGTTTTTTCGTAGTTTTTGTTTATCAGTAGTAAAATTCAGTCAATAGTCAGACAGTATAAATTTTCCCATCATTAATATAGTAGAAAAATTCGGGTCCAGTGAAAAAATTTCTTCACAATTTTTTTGTAATCATTAGCAGTAAGTTGACAAAAAAATTATAATTTTTATAGTCTAAATTGTAAAATATAGTAAAATTCACTAAATAGTCCGACAAATTATTTCAAATTATCATTCTCATAATACAAATTCTAGAGAAAAAAAAAGTAGTAAAACTTAGATTCAGTCAGACAAAACAGACTTTTAACTTTTATTCACCTCTTATTTTTATTTCCCGTCTTTTTTTTTATAAAATTCTATTCCTTTAATTATTACCCCTTTTAATTGTACTCTTTTATAATTTCTATAACAGAAAAAAAACAAATAACTTCTCTTTTATATATTCTCTTGCTTATACTCGTGAAATTTTTATACCTTCTATTTTATTTAAAAACCCTTCTTTCGCAGTTATTAAAAGTACAAAGCCTCTTCCGAAAGAGGAAGAGTTTCTTTTCTTACCGAAGAAACTAAATAGGAAAAAATTCAACAATTTTTTTTTTCAGATATAAAGAAGAATTTAATTGGATAAATCAAAATAAAAAAAATAAAAGCAGAAATTTTCAATTTTTATGCAAAAAAAAAATGTATAATTTTTTTTACTTATCCTACAAAGGTTTTTTAGGGGTGGGGGGGAAACTCGTAAAATAATTATTCCTTATGGATCATAAAAAAGAACCGTTGAATATAAGGAGGGGGGTGGCAGGGGGTTTCTATATGCGCACGTGGCTTTAAGCGACTGCCATTCGTTGAATGTCCACCATAATTTCTCTCAAGATAAAAGTGTCGCTTGGTTATTCATGACGTTGCTCTTCGATATTAACTTTCCGCTCGTAACGCTTAGAAATGCTCAGATATCTACAAGCATGAATATATATATATATCTATATGCAACTCATCCTTCGTTTTTTCTCTCTATGCAATTTTTTTTTTCATTCTTTCTCGTAAAACATATCAATGGAATTGAAACGATAAAAAATCGTCGATGAATCAAATACACTTGAATATGTAATCTTCAAAACTGTTCATGATCAATTGAATTATTATCTCTGTCACTTTATTTTTCAAAAAAAAAAAAAAATTTCTAAATACTTTAACTTCAATATTTTTTTTAATTACTGTTAATTTTTTATTACTATTATTATTTTTTTATTACTATTATTTTTTATTTAATTATTTATTGTATTTTGGGAAAAAAAATCAACGTAAATATTTTGTTCATTGAATAAAAAAAACGACTACTATTTCAAAACAATGAGAGGAAAGAGAAAAAAAAGAAAAAAATAAAATAAAGGGCGAATGAAGTTGAGATATTTCTAAAGTTTTGAAAACTAACCTGTCCCTGAAGAGGATCGTAAAGTCTCTGAATAAGTTGAAGGCACGTAGATTTTCCACATCCTGAACCACCAACGAGAGCTACGGTTTCACCGTGTTTGATCTTTAGATTTAAACCCTGAAGTACTTTGACATCTTTTCTAGCAGGATATCGAAAATGAACGTCCTTAAATTCAATCTCTCCATTAACCATTTTCAATTTTTGTCCTTCCTTACTCAAACTATCAATTATTGGTACACGATCCAACACCTAGAAAAAAAAATTGAATTTTCCATTCATAATTTATTGCAAAAAAAATTTTGTATGTAAAACAACTTGAAAATTCATTTTATAAAAAATTACCGACATAGAAATCTACCTTACCGTCTGCTGGTAATTTTTTTTTAAATATAAAAATTACCGACATAGAACTCTACCTTACCGTCTGCTGGTAATTTTTTTTTAAATATAAAATTTACCGACACAGAAAGCTACCTTACCGACTGTTTTACTGTCAGTCGGTAAGGTAGATTTCTATGTCGGTAACTATTTATATTTTTCAAAAAAAAACTGTTTTACCATCAGTCGGTAAAGTAGATTTCTGTGTTGGTAATTAAAAACAAAAAATTCCAAACCTGAAATATTGCAGCCGCAGAACCACGTGCAACGGCAAATGCCTCGAGATGAGGCGATGTGAGACCCATATTTTGTGCACCGGCAAGAACGCCAAAAAATACAATAACAAGTACAGCCGGTGTATATGCCTTAACATCCTTGGGACGATCTTCAAGTATTAATTGTACACCATACCAAAAGGCAAGTGCATAACTCAAATAAATAATAAACCACATTACACCACCACCAACGCCCGACCATAAGCCACGTTTGATTCCTGTTTTTTCTGCTGGTATTAATTTTGTTGAATATCTATCGACTTCCTTTTGTTCCCCATTGAATGCAATCACCGTTCTCACAGCGCCAAGTACCTCTTCGGCGACACTACCCGCTTGACCGTATGCCGCCAATTCTAATGCTGACAATGAACTTTGAACTTTGGCAACAATTGCCGTTGCAATGACAATTACTGGTGCACAACTCAATACAACAAGTGTCAATTTCCAACCGTATATAAATGAAATTATTATCGATGAAATAAATGATACCATTAGATATGTGAAGATTCCCAATTTTTCGCCGATTCCATCTTTCATTTTGTCCAAATCTCTGGAATTGAAATATTTGATTTGATTTGATTTCAGTCTGACAAAACGTTTCTAATTCGTAAATTTTTAGTATTAGTAGTAAAAGACAGTTATGGTCAGACGTAACGTTTTTTGATTCGTGTAATTTTGGAAATATTCTCTCATAAGTAGTAAAGGTCAGTTTCAGTCAGACGTACATTCTACAATAGAAATAATAGAAAAGGGGAAATAAAATTAAAAATTCCAAGTAGTAACAGTCAGTATCAGTCAGACTTAATGCACACAGCAATAAAACCAGAAATAGTGGAATAAAAATAAAAATTACAAGTAGTAAAAGTCCGTTTCAGTCAGACGTAATTTTGATTATAGATATTTTCTTATAAGTAGAAAAAGCCACCTTCAGTAAGACAAAATTTTCAATTCGTGTAATTTTGGTAACAGTAGATATTTTCTTATAAGTAGTAACAGTCACTTTTAGGCAAAGTTTTTTAATAATAGAATTTTAATAGTATCAGTAGTACAAATCAGTTTTAGTTAGACAATGATTTTAATTTTTCTAATTCTAATAACAGTAGTACAAGTCACTTAAAGTCAGACGGAATTTTTTTTTATTCGCGTAACTTTACATTCAGTAGTAAAAGTCAGTTTCACTTAGACGTAACATTTTTAAAGTGTGTAATTTTAATATCAGTGGTAAAATTAAGTTAAAGTCAGACAGAATATTTTTAATTCGAGTAATTTTAAAATCAGTAGCAACAGTCACGATTAGTCAAACATTACTAATTAGTGAAATATTGTTATCAGTAGAAAAAACAAGCTTTAGACAGACATATTTTTTAATTCGTGTAACTTTGTTAACAACAAATATTTTCTTATAAGTAGTAAAAGGCAGTTTTGATAGGACAAAATAGTTTTAATTCGTACGATTTTAGTAATAATAAATATTTATTTATACACAGAAAATTAAAAGGCATTAAAATAATCTGCAACGCTTATTATTTTAATCCAATTTTGCTTATTTTAATACCAAAATGGATTAAAATAAGCAAAATTGGATTGAAATAATAAGTGTTGCAGCTTAATTTAATGCCTTTTAATTTTCTGTGTAAGTAGTAACAGTCACTTTCAGTCGGACATAAAATTTTTAATTTATAGAATTTTAGTATCAGTAGTACAGCTCAGTTGCAGTCAGGCATTCCGTACTAGTAGAATATTGTTAACAGTAGTAAATGTAAGTTTTAGTCAGACGCAACATTTTTGTACTTTTAATATCAGTAGTATCAGTCCTTCAAAGTCAGACAGAATGTTTTTAATTTGAATAATTTTTCAATCAGTAGTAATAGTAAATTTTAGTCAGACATTATTAATTAGGCAAATATTCTTATTAGTAGTAAAAGACCGTGTTACAGTCAGACAAAAAGATTGCTAGCCGACTAATTTTTAAAATTAGTAGTAACAGTAACTTCCAGTCAGACTTTACTAATTAGTCAATTATTGTTATCAGTAGTAAAATTCAGTTTCGGTCAGACAAAAAATTTTTAATTACGAAAATTTTAGTATCAGTAGGGAAAGTTAGCAGTCAAACGTTGCAAATTTGTATTATTAGTATTAGTTAAAAAATATTCCGATTCAGTGAAACAAAATTCCTTGCATAATTTTTGGTAACAGTAGTAAAAGTGGGTTATAGTCAGACACTAAATTTTTTTGTCAGACATCAACAGTGGTAAAAGTCAATTACGTTCCTTCCGTTTTTAGGAAACAATAGTAAAAGCAAATTTTGGTCAGACAACGCATTTTGAAGTATACTTTTTGTAAATCAGTAGTATAAATCAGTAGTATAGTCAGACAATTCTTTAATTCTTAATATCAGTAGTAAATGTCAATTTCAGTCAGACAATATGTGAGTAATTTTTATAATAAGGAATTTTTTACTATTAAAAATTAAACATTTATTGAGTAAATATTTATGGAACAAATATTTATTTGTGGTAATAATTTAATTAAATTAAATTAATTTAATTTAAATGAAATAATTTAATTGAAATACCGTCTCAAAACGAGAAACTGAAAACCCCTGAAATCAGTTCCTTAATTCTCAAAGGCTTAAACAAACGGGAGTTTAAATTGTCAAAGGATTTAACCCTAAATTGAAATTGAGATGGGGGAAATTGGTTGGCAGATCGTTTAAAAGATGCGTAACTTTAGCTAAAGAGAAACACAGAAGACAAGCTTTTAGGGACCTCTTAACATCACCTGTTGCACCTTTCGACTTACTAACTTTTCTCTTTTGCAACTCTGTTCCGTTTACTTTGTTAATTTCATAAACTATACATATATTTCATCTATACATAAATTATACTTCTAATCTTATTGAATTTAAAGACTTCTACTTGCTATTTAACAGTTACTATAAAAATTTCTCCAGGATCATTTTTTTGTTTAACGATAATAATTATTATTTTGTATAATTTTTTTTTGTAAAGAATTTTTTAAATGTTACTTACTCGGTGATTCGGCTGGCAAAATTTGTGGAAGTATTAGTGTCATACCATGACATATCCTGTCTGAGAACTGCTTGAAGGAACATTTTTCTTAATCTTGCAATTTGTCTCGATGCAGCAATATTAAGTAAATCAACAGTGAAAATTGCAAAAACAAATTGAAAACAAGACAATGCTGCGCATGATACTCCAAAAGCTACTGAATCATCGTATAAGGCATCCATCCGTTCTTCGTATGTTGAATTTGCGTATCTGTAATTAAACAAATGAATTTTTTTTTAAAAGTTACATAATTCTTACACAATTTATTATTTAAAAGTGTATAATGAAAGAAAAATAGTATAGTAAACGTCATTTTTAGTCAGACAGAACGAATTTCTTTGCAAACTTTGTTTTTTTTTAGTCGAAGTAGTAAAAGACAGTTCCAGTCAGACAGAATATTTTTTTCAATTTGAAAACTTTTAGTAACAGTAGTCAAAGGCAGTTTCAGTCAGACAGAACATTTTTTTCAATTTGAAAATTTTTAGTAACAGTAGTCAAAGACAGTTTCAGTCAGAAAAATGTTTTCCAAATTTATTTTACTATCAGTAGTGACATTCATTTTCGGTAAGACCTAAAAATTCTTATCTCAATTAATTGAGTTATCAGTATCAATAGTGAGTTATAGTCAGACGAACATTTATTTTGCCATCAGTAGTAAAAGTCATTTTCAGTCAGACAAAAATTTAAGATTCATTTAATTTCAGCGTTAGTAGTAAATGTTATTTTTTGTCAGACAGAACGAATTTTTTTGCAAAATTTGTTTATTTTTAGTAGAAGTAGTAAAAGACAGTTCACGTCAGACAGAATATTTTTTTAATTTGGTAATTTTTAGTAACAGTAGTCAAAGGCAGTTTCAGTCAGACAGAACATTTTTTTATTTTGAAAATTTTTAGTAGCAGTAGTAAAAAGGCAGTTCCAGTCAGACAGAATATTTTTTTAATTTGGTAATTTTCAGTAGCAGTAGTAAATGACAATTTCAAACAGACAGAAAAAATGTTTACAGGCATTTTTACTAGCAGTAGTAAAAAACAGTTTTAGCCAGACAAAACATTTTTTTCAATTCAGAAATTTTTAGTAACAGTAGTCAAAGAAAGTTTCAGCCAGACAGAACATTTTTTTGATTTGATTATTTTCAGTAGCAGTTGTAAAAGTCAGTTTCAGTCAGGCAGAATTTTTTTTTGCATTTTTCTCTAGCAGTAGTAAAAACAGTTTTAGTCCGACAGAACATTTTTTTCAATTTGAAAATTTTTAGTAACAGTAGTCAAATGCAGTTTCAGTCAGACAGAACCTTTTTTTATTTTGGAAATTTTTAGTAACAGTAGTCAAAGGCAGTTTCAGTCAGACAGAACATTTTTTTCAATTTGAAAACTTTTTGTAACAGTAGTCAAAGGCAGTTTCAGTCAGACAGAACCTTTTTTTATTTTGGAAATTTTTAGTAACAGTAGTAAAAGACAGTTCCAGTCAGACAGAATATTTTTTTAATTTGGTAATTTTCAGTAGCAGTAGTAAAAGACAATTTCAAACAGACAGAAAAAATTTTTACGGGCATTTTTACTAGCAGTAGTAAAAAACAGTTTCAGCCAGACAAAACATTTTTTTCAATTCAGAAATTTTTAGTAACAGTAGTCAAAGAAAATTTCAGACAGACAACATTTTTTTAATTTGATTATTTTCAGTAGCAGTTGTAAAAGTCAGTTTCAGTCAAACAGAAATTTTTTTTGGCATTTTTATCTAGCAGTAGTAAAATCAGTTTCAGTCAGACAGAACATTTTTTTGAATTTGAAAATTTTTAGTAACAGTAGTCAAATGCAGTTTCAGTTAGGCAGAACCTTTTTTTATTTTGGAAATTTTTAGTAACAGTAGTAAAAGACAGTTCCAGTCAGACAGAATATTTTTTTAATTTGGTAATTTTCAGTAGCAGTAGTAAAAGACAATTTCAAACAGACAGAAAAAATTTTTACGGGCATTTTTACTAGCAGTAGTAAAAAACAGTTTCAGCCAGACAAAACATTTTTTTCAATTCAGAAATTTTTAGTAACAGTAGTCAAAGAAAATTTCAGACAGACAACATTTTTTTAATTTGATTATTTTCAGTAGCAGTTGTAAAAGTCAGTTTCAGTCAAACAGAAATTTTTTTTGGCATTTTTATCTAGCAGTAGTAAAATCAGTTTCAGTCAGACAGAACATTTTTTTGAATTTGAAAATTTTTAGTAACAGTAGTCAAATGCAGTTTCAGTTAGGCAGAACCTTTTTTTATTTTGGAAATTTTTAGTAACAGTATTCAAAGGCAGTTTCAGTCAGACAGAACAGTTTTTTCAATTTGAAAACTTTTAGTAACAGTAGTAAAAGTCATTTTCAGTCAGACAAAAATTTAAGATTCATTTAATTTCAGCGTTATAGTAGTAAATGTTATTTTTTGTCAAACAGAAATTAAACAGCACTCAGTTTTAAGAATATTTTTTTTTTCGAAATTAACACAGAAAAAAAAAACTTACAAAATTTTTCCTCCTCCGAACCATTCCATAATTATAGTTTCGGTACTTGTTTCATTTTCATTGTTACGATCAACCAATAATGTTGTGAACTCTCCATACTGAATGGTAGAAATGGGAATGCAAAGTCCAGTGAGGGTTCCCATAAAGAGACCCCCAAACACAAGCATCAGCTCCCCAAACGTTGCAAATCGAAACTAATAAAAAAAGTTTAATTAAATTTTCAAAAAATATAATTAAAAAAAAAATTTTAAATACGTTTAAAATGCAATATTCTTAAAATATTTATTTTTTTTGAATTAAAAATAATTTCACTATAATTTTCTAAAACGTAAGAATAAAATTCTTATGGAATTTATTCTTGAAAAAAAAGAATAAAGAGGAAAAATTATATATTCTTAAATTTAGAATATCGTTTATTTGGATGGAAAAAAAATTGCCACTTACTAGTCTGTAATAAGGTACGGGTGGTAGTATAGGTGCTGTTGGAACGACCTTCTCCTCTTTGGTTTGAGGGGGCACGAATTCACTGTGGACAGAAGAAATTGATGCTTCATTAACATCGTGCTTGAATTACAAAGTCATGCCCGCCCCATTATTATCGATAAAGAAATAGAAAAAAAAATGAAAGATGAAGAGAGAACACTTCCGACATAACGATTCATGTTTTTCCAATATTTAAATATATTTTACATTGATCCTTTGAATATTTTTTGTCCCGAAAAATTAAGTCAATAAATATTCATTTCATCAATTTCTATAGTTATAATTATAATAAATTAATTATAATTATAATTTAATACAATTTGGTACAATTTAATATAATTTGACATAATTTTATATAATTTGATATAATTTAATACAATTTAGTACAATTTAATATAATTTGACATAATTTTATATAATTTGATATAATTTAATATAGTTAATTATATTTATAATTAATTAATTATATAATTAACTCGTAATTTTAAATTTATATTCAAGCTTCTTTTCACCCAATAATCAGAAATTGATGAAATATCAATATTTTCCTTGAGATACTAATTAAAACCTCGTACTTCGTTTTACGAATATTTCTACAATATATAAGATAATATTTGACATAAATTATTATTCGTTTAAGAAAAATGGAAGCAGTAATAAAACCCCAAAAATTGAACAATGGTTTTTTGTAAACAAAAAATTAATTTCAAAACTATTTTAAAAAATTTAAATGTTATCCATATCATCAAGAAAAAAAAATTAAAATTTCTTTTTAAGAATTAAAAATCGAATTTAAATTATTTTTACAAAAAAAAAAAATTTTTTGTCTTTAAAAAAATAATTACTTTTTTGTACGAGAAAAATAATTAAAAATAATTTTGCAAATTCGAATTATTTTTTAAAAAAAAATAATTTTTCGTCAACTTTTCTATATGAGAAAAACCACTTAGAATGATTTTCAATCTTTGAAAATATGTGTAAATTAGCCAATTTAAAAGCAGAAATGCATTATCAAGTCTAATCACGGGGTCCAATCACGAGTCAACGTTCTGGAAAATATCTGCAATTCAATCTCATGAAAGACGCAGAATCTTCAAACCCCCCCCCCTCCCCTCTCTCTACCGGAAGTGAAGAAAATTGAAGCAAAGCATTTCTGTCGGAAGTGCTCTCAAGAACCTATGCAACTGTTCCAATTGAATGGAACCATGTATCTCTTTGCTTGTGAAGAAAGAGAGAGAGAAAGATTTGAATCTCTCTCTCTCTCTCTCTTATTCGCACCAAAAGCGATTTTCAAGCGACCAGCACAGTAACATTTCCTTTCATGTACCATTGAATTTTCGTTTATTTCTCTCTCGCTATATATACACTGCTTTTGCATTTTTGAGTTTTATTTACTTTCCCTTATACGCTTGTTTTTTTTTTTTTTTTTTTTTTTTCTTTCTCTATATACAGTATTTTTTTTCTCCCTCTATATATAGTATATTTATTTCTTCCGTTTCATTGATAAATTTGTAATTTTTGTCATCTATATTTGTGTTTTTGTGTACTATTTGAAAAAAAGATTTTCTTTTAGAAAAAAAAAAAAAATTCGTACATTGGTTCTCCATTTTCTTGTAGCATATATTCCACTTCTCCATTAGCCTTGTCCTTGTCTCGTTGTGTGTCTGGAAAGCGAAATATTTTTACCGTAGACACACGCGTTTATTGTTACTTACTCTCATTTTTGCACCAGAGAATTATAATTTTTTTCTAAATCGAACTTTTATTTATTTTATTATTAAACTGCAAAAAAAAATTTATTCTTTAATTTTTCTCTCTAAATTTGAATTATATTGTTTCCACAACGGGGCGCCAGAAGGAGGTTTAAGGCCAGGTCCAAGTGAGGCAGCGCCATCTACATTGAAACTAAAATTTTGGAAAATTTTCAATAGCCTTTTCTTGAAAACAAGAAGGTAAAATGCTTTTTTCTTTATGGATAATTGATTATTGGCAAGATATACACACCAGCTAAAACTTTTTTTGAGTTAAAATAATAAAAAAAATTCCATGTCAATAAATTAAATATGAGCACTTTTTTCACCAAAAACTGTAACAGTACTTTCTCAGAAATTACAATGAAAAATGCAATTTCCATTTGGAAAATTAATAAACGCTAAAAAATACACGACCTAAGATTTACCAATCACGAAAATAACAAAAAAAAAAAGTATTTTAACATAACATATTTTACTCATTATGACAGCCGTTTGGCAGGTTATATATGTCACCAGACGTTTCGCAGTTTTGCCGAAAGGAGGAGATTGGCGCTGTTGCTAACCACCTGAAATACATAATCTTACCAAAGGGCTGTCACAATCAGTAAAGCAGTATCAATATGTTAAATATTTAATAAAATTTTTTTTTGTTATTTTCGTGATTGGTAAATCTTAGGTCGTGTATTTTTTAGCGTTTATTAATTTTCCAAATGGAAATTGCATTTTTGATTGTAATTTCTGAGAAAATAACTGTTACAGTTTTTATGAAAAAAGTGCTCATATTTAATTTATTGACATGAAATTTTTTTTTATATTTTAACTCAAAAAAAGTTTTAGCTGGTGTATATCTTGCCAATAATCAATTATCCATAAAGGAAAAAGCATTTTACCTTCTTGTTTTCAAGAAAAGGCTGTTGAAAATTTTCCAAAATTTTAGTTTCAATGTATATGGCGCTGCCTCACTTGGACCTGGCCTTAAAAATTCTTTTTGATTATGGTTCTAAGATGAATAAAAAAACTTTTCTCAATAGGTTTTAAAATCAGCTTTTACGTGCCCAATTTAAAACAAATTGAGTTTTAAATATTTAAAAATAGTATTTTATGAGAAACCAGAATTTATTTAATGTATACTTATATGCGTATAGATAATAGATGTTTTAGATTTGGGTTCATATAAATTTATTAACAATGAAGTTATATTCTTGTTTCGTTTTTATATTTATGCTTTTTTCTCGAAACACGAACACTTTTAACAAAATCAGCCAAAATCCTCATCTTATAAACTTCCTAAATCCAAAAAACTGTACGAATCCATAGAAAAACATGGTTGCAAAACAAAAAGTAGAAAAGTAATCTAATAACAGCTGCGACTTTGTGCGCCCTGCATGCTGCTGCCATCTGACGGCGGCAGGAGGTAATGAACCCCTCATTATATTACTTTTCGTTTTGCAATCGTGTTTTTGTATGGATTCGCATAATCATTCGGAATTAGGAAATTTATATAAGATAACGATCTCTAGCTGCTTTTGTAAAAAGTGTCCGTCTTTCGAGAAGAAAGTATTTTAAAATCAATGTTTATCATTTTCACGTTTAGTGCCGTTTTTATAGAGCGATAATTAAAGGTCTCTTCTTGTCAAAAAATTTCAGAGATCATTTGACTCTCAAATAAATTTTGTCACTCTTAAAATCGTTCTTTTAACATTATAATTTAATTTTTTAAAATACACAAACACTACAGCAATATAATTATTTATATGTAAAATTGAAAATAAGTAATTATTTTATCATTTATTGCAGTATTTATTAGATTAAATAAATTCTGATTCCCCATAAAACACTGTTTTAATATAAAAACTCAATTTGTTTTAAATTGGGCACGTAAACTGATTTTAAAAACTATTGAGAAATGTTTGTTATTCATCTAAGAATCATAATTCTAATTTTTTAAAGTTTTTAATTATTTTCTTCTTATATACAGATTTAATTAAAAATATTTTTTCAACGTTTGAGTTATGAATTAGAATTAATTTGATACTAATTAGTAATTATTTATTTACATATAAAACATATAATTCAAATTTAAAGAGTAATTCTCAAAAAAAAAATTTTTGATTGACTAAGGAAAAGAAAAAAAAAACTAAGTAAAACTACACGGAAAAAATCTTTACTTGAAACAGCGATAAGTATCACTAAAACAGAGAAAGTTTTCGCTATTCTAGAGAAACATATCGCTGTTCCAGATAAAGATTTTTTTCCGTGATAAGAAAAAAAATTGTTAACAGAACGGAAATCAATTTCAAAAATAAAAAAAAAATGTAATTTTCCATCCAGTATTATATAAAATATGAAATTTCTTCAGTATTATATATTTAATAAAACTCAAATCTAAATTTACTTTTTATATAATCGAGATTTATATAAAACAATTTATATAAATAAATCAATAAATCCAGAATAATCTGAGTTTTATTAAATATTTTAAACTTTGAATAAATATATTTCTTTAGAAACAAAAAATAGAAAATGACAGTATTTTCAAATATTTTTTCAAATTTTCTTTTTCGAATAAAGAAAAATTACTATTACTAAAAGATCAATATAGTTTTTTTCTTTTTTTTTTGAAAAAGAGAGAGAGAAATTTTATAACGTAGTTCTGGGATCAAAGGATTGATCTCGAGTGATATCAATGAAAAGATAAAAAAAAAAAAAGGAAAAAGGAAATGGTAAAAGGTCTTAATGGAACTCGAACGGCCAAAGAAGAATGTATACACACGCGGGGGCACATCGACAACAAAAGGGATTGAATCGACATCTGTACGTCCGATTAAAGTCGTGATAGACGTTCTAGACATGGATTCGTTTCCTTGCCGCGGTGAATCAAACGCTTCATAAATCACTCAATATGTGTCTACAAAAAAAAACCCCTCTCACATTCATCAATACTTTTAGTATTTCTACTTGAGATATAATAAAAAATTAAATTATGATTCTTTTCTAAATATTTTTATAGCTTTAGAAAATACTTTAGTAATAAGAGTGAAAAATACTTTAATCGTAAGCTTTTGAATACTTATAAGTATTACTTATTACTTACTTTAGTAATACTTAGTAATTCAACATTTTTTTCGAAATATTTTCGAAAAATTTATTTAGTAATACATTAGCAATTACTATTATTTTTAGTAATTACTTTCTGAATATTTAGCTATTTTTAGTAAATTATTACTAAAGTAATTTAGTAAATACTATTTAAGGCAATACTTAGTAATTTAAATTCTTTTCGAAATACTTTTGGTAAAATTTATTTAGTAATACATTAGCAATTACTATTATTTTTAGTAATTACTTTCTGAATATTTAGCTATTTTTAGTAAATTATTACTAAAGTAATTTAGTAAATACTATTTAAGGCAATACTTAGTAATTTAAATTCTTTTCGAAATACTTTTGGTAAAATTTATTTAGTAATACATTAGCAATTACTATTATTTTTAGTAATTACTTTCTGAATATTTAGCTATTTTTAGTAAATTATTACTAAAGTAATTTAGTAAATACTATTTAAGGCAATACTTAGTAATTTAAATTCTTTTCGAAATACTTTTGGTAAAATTTGTTTAGTAATTAATTAGCAATTACTTTTATTTTTAGCAATTACTTTCTGAATATTTAGCTATTTTTAGTAGATTATTACTAAAGTAATTTAGTAAATACTATTTAAGGCAATACTTAGTAATTTAAATTCTTTTCGAAATACTTTTGGTAAAATTTATTTAGTAATTAATTAGCAATTACTTTTATTTTTAGCAATTACTTTCTGAATATTTAGCCATTTTCAGTAAATTGATTACTGGAATAATTTACTAAATACTATTTAAGCCAATACTTTAGTAATATACTCAGTAATTGTAATTTATTTTGAAATACTATAATTTTTAAAGCTTTAAAAAATACTTTAGTCAAAAGCTTTTAAATATTTAAGTAAATACTTTAGTAATTCTTAGGAATACTTAGTAATTACTTTAGCAAATACTTTGGTAATTAGTTTCTAAATAGGGGAGACCGGGGCTGAAAGTGCCGGGGGTAAGTTGTGCCGATAGGAATATCTCAAAAAGAAAATTTTTTTTTTGAAAAGTGGAAGTGAGAGAAGTATTGTTTTACTTATGCGCATCTTTGGCAACTATTTTGATTTTGTTTGCTTTATGGAATAATTAGCTGTTAGTAATTTGGTGCTTTGGCGTCACTTACGTGCAAGTTTTCATGTTTACACTTTTTGGTCTATTTTTTGCATTTTTAAAGATATCGATACGTATTTTTTTTTAAAATGATCCAAATTTATCGAGGGATTCAATGGTGTATTGATCTTAACATTTTATTTATCTACTTTTTTAATATATGATAAAAAGTGAGCGTTGACGCAACGAGGTTAATTGTGCCTTTCGCTTGGGGCTGGTTGTGCCGCTGTCAATCGCTACATAACCATAATCTATACTATTGCCTCGTTTGTTCGAATAGTTATTCCAACCCGAAATCAAGAGAAAAGTTGATTCAATGCATAGTTTGCAAAAACTGGGCACATTTAAAATGTGTGAAGTGTAAAAAAAGGGTCAATTGTGTGTCAATTGTAATTTCAATAAATCGCATTCGGAATAAGTATTTACGCCTTAAAAACTATTTATTAATCAGAAAGTAGAGTTTTTACACTTAATTAACGATACAAATAATTATTTGAAAAAATATTTTAAAAGACTGATTAATTATGTAATTGTAAAATTTAAGTCAGAAATGTTTATTTATTTATAAAAATCTATAAGTGTTACGATTGTTGGAAAAATCTTTTGAATGTTTATAATAAAAATACTTATTACGAAAACTATATTTTAAGTGACTGACTAACTATGTAATTATAGAATATAAGTCAGAAATTGTTTATTTTTACCTACTAAAAGTGGTACTAAAATCTAGAAATCCTAAGATTGTTCACAAAAACCTTTAAATGTTTATAAAAATATATTAATAAATAATATTAAATCATATATTGGAAATAATTATTTTATTTCTTACACGTAAAATCATTTGCTTCAAGTTAAGCAACTACAAAATCTGGGCGGCACAACCGACCCAGGCGTCGGCACAACTCTCCCCAGGGCGTAGCTCGATGTGTCGCTTCGCCTCGCTGCAGAAAATCAATTTTTACAAAAAAACTATTCAATATTATCAAAAAATAATACTGGATTCAAAAACTACATTAAATTTCACAAAAGATAGACTATGAAGTAAAATAAAAAGTTGTCATTTTACTAGTATTTTCTTTAGTTTTCTCAAAATCGGCACTTTCAGCCCCGGTCTCCCCTACTTCAATTAAATATTATAGTAATTTTAAAAATTTGTTATTAAATAATTCAATAATATATACTAAATATTGTTTAAATACTTTAGTAAATACTTTATTAGTAAAGGATTGAAAATTATTAGATAATAAGGTTTTTTCATTTTTAGCTAATACTTTTGTAGTTTAAATACCTAAGCAAATACTTTAGTAATATCAGATAATTCGTTTTTAATTATGTAAATAAAATTTGCCTTGTAATTATTTAGTAAATACTTTAGTAAAATTTAATTAATATTTTCTAAATACTTTACTGAATACTTAACTAAATATTTTAGTAATTTTCACCAAAATGATTATAAATACTTATTTTTAATACTTGAACAATATTTTATATTTTTTCAAATTCTTTAGCAAATACTTTAATAAAATTCAGTAATAATTGATTTCGGAATACTGAATTGAATTACATACTTTAGTAAATACTAAAGTATTTGATTTTAGTATTTTCTTTCAGTATTTTTTTCAGTATTTGCTTTTAGTATTTCCTTTTAGTATTTGCTTTTAGTATTTGCTATTAGTATTTTCTTACTAAAGTAATACACAGAAATAGTAATTTTTCTCTAAATACTTTAGTTGGACAATATATTAACCTATTAATTCATAATTAATTTTCTTATTTATTTAGTAATTTATAATTAGTTTTAAAAATTAGTAACTTTTTCAGAAAAAAATTTATTAACTCTCGCAATTTTTACTAATTTTAACCCCACTTGGAAAGCTTCCCCGGAAAGTGCCTCCTGGAGGTTCTATCAGAATTCCACCGGAACTTCCAACGTAATTCCGTCGGAATTCCATCGGAGTTCCAAAGAATTTCCAAAGAATTTCCTATGGGATTCCGACGGAATTCCGATTAATTTTTTCAAAATGTTTAAAGTCCTAATTCCGTCGGAGTTCCAAAGAATTTCCTGTGGGATTCCGACAGAATTCGACGGATTCCGATCAATTTTTTCAAAATTTTTAGAGTCCTAATTCCGTCGGAATTCCGTTGGATTTCCGTCGGAAAGATTCCCCGGTAAGTGCCCCCTGGAGGTTCTATCAGAATTCCGCCGGAACTTCCAACGTAATTCCGTCGGAGTTCTAAAGAATTTCCCATGGAATTCCAACGGAATTCCAACGGAATTCCGATTAATTTTTTCAAAATTTTTAAAGTCCTAATTCCGTTGGAATTTCGTCGGAATCCCATTGGAAATTCTTTGGAACTCCGATGGAATTCCGACGGAATTACGTTGGAAGTTCCGGCGGAATTCTGATAGAACCTCCAGGGGGCACTTTCCAGGGAATCTTTCCAAGTGGGACATAATCATTAGTAAATACTTGGATAGAATTAATTAATTTTTCTTATTTTATCCTTAAAATTTCTTTCATTCTTTTTTACCACCTAACAAATTAATTAGTTCCTCTTTCTAATTAAATTAAATTCTATGAGAAAAGTTGTAAATTTTTTTTCTTTTTTTCTTTTTTTTTTAATACAATTTCATTCGAAGTGCATTCACGCCCGAAGGGTTTAGTAAAATTTACTGGAATCTTGAAGGAAAAATGGGATTTAAGATACTGCTTCGAAAAGTCGTGTCGAGGAAATTCCCGATGGAGCTCCATTAGCGATGTAATTGCCATTTTCCAAAGTTTCTCCCGACAAAACTACGCGATCGCGGCTGACTGAATCTTTATATATCATCGCGGAACCAGAACATCCTGATTACCGATTTCAAGTCTCGTTTCTATGTGACCTAAACTTTATAAATATACGAATGAATTCACATATAAAATGTGAAATGACGATTTGATGTGCCCATAATAATTTTCTGTTTCTTTTTTTTTCATCCCTATTGGGTACAGGAAAAGGATATCGTAAAATATACAAATTTTCTACGTTCTAAATTTTCTCTATCTTTTTTTGTTTTTCGTGAATTTATATTCATTCTCGATAATCTCATTTAAATAAATTTTCAATTTTCTTCGATATTTACAAATTATTGAAATTCAACAATTTTTTCAAAAAATAGTCCAAGAATAAAAATCATTAATTTATCATTTATAATTCTTAATAGAAATTAATAGGAGAAAATTTGTAAAAAAAAAAAATTACATTTTTTTTTACATTTCAAAGAATAAATAAATTAAATATATATTTTTCCCCAACTGAATATTAAAATTAGATTCGAGATAATATTTACTTTTTAAAAAAAAATTTTATTATTAAAAAAAATTGATTAAAAATAATTGATAAATAATTAAATGATAAGAATTACTTACACCTCGAGTGGATTTTTTCTGATCGTTTGGAGTTTATTTTGTGGGGTTCCATTTGGATATCCTGTGGATGAGTCTCGCGAGGATTCGAGGACCACTGATAAATTCGCTGTGTCATCGCGCATTCTCAGTTAACAACTCTGTAATAAAATAATAAAAAAATTATTATTTGCAACATTTTCTTTTTTATCCTTAATTCTATAATTACAAGAATTTATTTCCATAAATATTATTTTCAGATTTTTTCATTATTTGGCAAAATAAATTTTTTTTTTAAATAAATTTAATTTAATTTAAAATTTCATTTAATTTTTCAAAAAAATTATTTTTCGAGAAAATTAGAATAAATAATTCTTTATTCTGTATTAATTTTGGATTAAAATATTTTTTAACACTTATATAAATATTTATATAGAAAAAAAATATAATTTTGTAGATAATTTTTTTTATAGTTTTTTTTTTTTTTTAATTTAAATAATATATTTCAATTTATTAACCATATTACCTAATAAATAATAATTTTTTAAGAATTTTACAATATAAAAAACAAATAATTGAGCAATATTAGAAAACGAACAACTGTTTCTATAAATTATAGAATTTAAAGAATATATAAATATTTTATCAAAAAATATTATATCTATAAATATAATTCTAGGCAGTATAAAATGGCAAAAATTTATCATCAATTAAATTATTATAATTCTCTTATTTCTGTTACAATAAAACAGAAAGTGAATAAAAAATTTTTTATCTCGTTTGGGTAATTTTTCATTTCAAAAAAAAAAAACTGATTAATAATTTAATTAACAACTATAATTGATTAAAATAATTGGATAATTTATTTGAATAAATTAATTTATAGTTAGATATAAATAAATATAAAAAAAAATATATACATAATGAAAATATTTACATTTGTGATATTATGCATTGTGTTAATTACACTAAATTTTCACTGGACCGATGGATCGGGAAGTAATTGGTTTTCTTATTATGACCTTACCAGCTACGCAGCAGCAAAAAGTATATAAAATATTAATATTATTATTAATAAAAAAAATTAAAAATATTTTGTTTTATAATTGGTCTTTATAAAAATAATTGAATGATTTTTGTATTTTTATAAGAATTTTTTTTCCTTTTGTAGGATACTGTTATAAAAAGACAGATTCAGGAACCTATAAATGTGTATTTAACACCGGAGAATACAATGAGGAACAGCATGCTGCGTGTGAGTATTTTTAAATCATATTCGTAATTGATAAAAAATATTAGAGCTATATTAATAATAATAATAATAATTATTATTATTATTATTATTACTATAGCTGAGACAATTTTTTTTCTTTTTTATAGGGCACTGCATTGAGGAGACTGCAACTACCTTTCGTTGTAGATAAAAATATACCTATATAATATAACCAAATTTTATTTTTATATAAGAATAAAAATAAATAAAAATAATATACACAAGAAAAAAAATTTTCGTTTTGTCATATTCACAATGAAAATTATAATAAAATAAATTAAAATAATTATCTTATTTGTTTTGAGTTTTATTTCCAATATATAACCAACAATAGATTTTTATTTCTATTTATTTATATTTATAAAAAAAAAAATTTTTCAGTAAAAAACATATTAATTTTTTTTTTAAATAAAAATTTTTATTGTTATTTTTATAAACCTTTGCATTTTTTTGTGTACTAAAAAATTTTTATTTGTCGTTAAATTATTCACTTGGAAAATAAAAGAAAAAAAAAGGAGTAAAATTTATCATCGATTACATTAGTTTGAAAGTTTCTGTTACAATAAAACAGAAAGTGAATTAAAAAAAAATATTAATCCATCGTATCTCGTTTGTTAATTTTTCTTTACAAAAAAAAAATGATAATTTTGTTAATTATTATTTACCCGAATTTTAATATTATATATTTATAATTATAAAATAAAATACCATATCTTAATTCAAAAAAAAGAAGTATTTTTAAAAATTAAAAGTCATTAATTCATTTTTATTAATTTATAAATAATAAGGTAATAAAAAAAAAATTTAGAAATTTTTGCGTGCAATTTAACAAAAACCGGAAACTTTTTTTCTGATTATTTGAATGTTCTCTTTTTGAAAAATGTACTTTAACCTTTATACGATTGTTAGTCTTTTGCTTGCCAATAAACGTAGGCGCGTGCAATGATGACCTGAAAAGATGACTAAAAATAATTTTCACGAAACCTTTGCCAGAAAAGAACATTTCGCTAATAATTCCTCATTTCCTTTTCTTTAATAATATATATATATTTAAATTTTCACATTTATTAATATACATGAATAATAAAAATAATACTGAATTATTATAAACATTTATTTTGTCTCTATAAATAGACGTTTCAAAAATTTAAATTCAAGAAAAAAATACTTATATCTATTTTTTATCTTTTCATGAAAAAAAAAATTTTAATTAAAAGAATTAAAAATTTTTTGTTGTATTTTCCTTCAGTTGGTGAATTTTTTATTTGTTTTTTAGTTTTAGTATAAAATAATATGTTTTAGTTTAGTTGGACGAAGGATTACTATATATATATATATATATATAGTAAACCATGTGACACAGAGGAAGTTGCTTTTCAAGGGGTAATTGAGTTGAGAGGGTGCAAAAGTGGTAGGATCCATTCTCGTCCTGCGGTTCAACTTGTGGGGGGACGTACCACGCTCGCGGGTGCGACAAAACGCTACGAAGCCTGTTCTCGTATCTCTCTCTCTCTCTCTCTCTCCCTCAAACTCACTTCCGCTTTTCCTTCCGGTTCTATGCTCATTGATGATTTACAACTATTGTTACAAAATTTCTCAAACTCAACAAGCCTCATTTATTATATGTCCCTATAGGTATTTTCACCATCAAAAACTATTTTAAACACCTTGCTGTTCAAATTATATATTCAATAATTAATTAATCTGAATTTTTAGTTTTTTTTTTTTAAATAATTCCAAAACATCCCCTTCTGTTCTCTTTAAAATTGATGATAAGTAAAAGTTGAACTCCAATCGAAGGAAATTCGATCGAAAGAAATTCAATCGTAGAAAACTTGATCGAAAAAATGTCAATTGAAGAAATTTCAATCATAGGAAACTCGATCGAAGAAACTTCAATCCATGGAACCTTATTCGAAGGAACCTAATTCGTAAGAACCTAAATTAAAAAAATTCATTCGAAGGAACCTTATTCGAAGAAACCTAATTCGTAAGAACCTCAAAAAAATCCATTCGAAGGAACCTTATTAGAAGGAACCTTATTCGAAGAAACCTTATTCGAAGGAACCTTATTCGAAGAAACTTAATTCGTAAGAACCTCAATTAAAAAAATTCATTCGAAGGAACCTAATTCGTAAGAATCTCAATTAAAAAAATTCATTCAAAGGAACCTAATTCGTAAGAACCTCAATTAAAAAAATTCATTCATAGGGACGTTATTCGTAGGAACCTTATTCGAAGGAACCTAATTCGTAAGAACCTCAATTAAAAAAATTCATTCGAAGGAACCTAATTCGTAAGAACCTCAATTAAAAAAATTCATTCATAGGGACGTTATTCGAAGGAACCTTATTCAAAGGAACCTTATTGGAAGGAATCTTATTCGAAGGAACCTTATTCGAAGAAACCTTATTCGTAAGAACCTAAATTAAAAAAATTCATTCGAAGGAACCTTATTCGAAGAAACCTAATTCGTAAGAACCTCAAAAAAATCCATTCGAAGGAACCTTATTAGAAGGAACCTTATTAGAAGGAACCTTATTCGAAGAAACCTTATTCGAAGAAACTTAATTCGTAAGAACCTCAATTAAAAAAATTCATTCGAAGGAACCTAATTCGTAAGAATCTCAATTAAAAAAATTCATTCAAAGGAACCTAATTCGTAAGAACCTCAATTACAAAAATTCATTCATAGGGACGTTATTCGTAGGAACCTTATTCGAAGGAACCTAATTCGTAAGAACCTCAATTAAAAAAATTCATTCAAAGGAACCTAATTCGTAAGAACCTCAATTAAAAAAATTCATTCATAGGGACGTTATTCGAAGGAACCTTATTCCAAGAAACTTCAATCGAAGGAACCTTATTCTAAAGAACCTGATTCGTTAGAACCTCAATTAAAAAAATTGATTCATAGGGACGTTATTTGAAGGAACCTTAATCGTAGCCACCTCAATCGAAGAAAGCTCAATCAAGGAAATTTTTCGATCGAAGGAACCTCAATCAAAGGGATTTAAATTGAAGAAATCTAATTCGAAGGAACCTAATTTGAAATAATCTCAATCGAAGGAACTTCCATCGTAGAATTCTAATTCGAAGGAACCTCAATCAAGGAGGCGCGATTTGAAGGAATCTCAATTAAAAGAACCTCGATCGAAGAAACTTCAATCGTAGAATTCTAATTCGAAGGAACGTCAATCAAAGAAACCTCAATCGAAGGAACCTTATTCGACGTAACCTCGATCAAAGGAATACAATTTGAAGGAACCTCAATCGAAGAAACCTCAATAGAAAAAATTTTAATCGAAGAAACTTTGAGTCGTAGAAATTCCAATCAAAGGAACAATAAAAAAATGGTTTATTCCCTTTTTTATGAAAAATATAAATGCTTTGTTGTGTTTGATTTTTTTTTTTTGTTTTTTGTATGTCAAATATAAACGCATACAATATATATTTAAAAAAAAAGAAAATAATCGCTTCTTTTGAAATATGTTTTCTGTTAAAAGGCAGGAGGGAGGGGAATTGTAAAAAACTTTTCTACGTGCCAAACCAATGGAAATTCCCTTCAATGTTATAACATACGCGACATATAATCGTTAAAAGCCGAAGAGACATGTCTGTATTTTGCCTACGGCTGCGTTGCGAAAACTTGTCTGCCAGATTTAAAGTTGAAAACTGGACCCGTTTTTTTGGGAGGGGGGGGGAAAGAGAAATTTTAAATAAAATATTCAAAATAATTGAAAAATTTACAAATAATTTCATTGTTATTTTTTTAAAAAAATCAATTGAATTAACAAATAAATATAATTTTATATTTTATAAATATATTTTTATATTTTGTAAATATATTTTTATATTTATTTATATTTGTTTATATTTATAAAAAAA